TCCCGAAAATCCCGAGCACGGGTGGGAAGAGGTCGGGTGTCAAATGCCAGCTCCCCTCGGGTTGGGCAGGGTGCCGCAGCCCCGCACAGGACACCCATGGGGAAGGATCCTGCGGGGCTGGTGGCACCTCGCACCGCGTAAGTGCAGCCCAGCTGGAACCCCTTCCCAGCCCTCGGCAGCGGAAAGAGCCATGAGGAGAGAATTCCCCGTGGGATCCCCCATAAACCGCCTCCCGACAGGTGGGGGAAGGATGCTGCCGGGGTGGGGAAGGGTGACAGCCCTCGGCGGGGGTGTCCATCAGCCGGGAGTGCCCCGGGRCAGTGGGAGTGCCCCCCRGCCCCTGTCAGTGGTGGCGCGGGCTGTCCGGTACTCACCTCGGTGCAGGGCAGAGCGGCGGGAGGGGCCCGATCCTGCGACAGGTGCCCGCTCCCCGCCGCTCCTGCTTTATATGCATCGCCCCGCGCTCTGATTGGCCCGACCGCCTCCCGCCACGTGACCCACAACTCCCCAAGAACTCCCCGGACCCCCCCATGCCCGATCCCCCCCCTTCCCCGGGGCTCCCCCCACTCGTGGGCTGCGGGACCCCCGCTCCCCGCTCATCCCTGGAGGGGAGCCCGGGAAGCGGGCGGAGACGGGGAGAGGGGGTCCCGGCGGGTCGTGGCGCGGGGTGGGGGGGTGGGGGGTGTCGGTGCCGCCCGTGGGTTCCAGCCCGGGGCGGGCATCGCGTGCGAAGCGGGCGGGATGTTTGGGCAAACCCGCACCGCCCCGGTCACTCCAGTCACGCTACCGGCAGGATCTTAAAGGCGCCGGTCCCACGCCCCGCTGCGCCCCGGGACCCCCCCGGGGGGCGCCCCGGCTGCCCCGCTCCCCCCCGCACCCGCAGCGTCCCATACGCGCCCCCCGCCCYGGTGCCCGCAGCCCCGGGATACCCGCGGTGTCCGCAGCCACGGGGACGGCGGGAGCGTGGGAAAACCGCCCCGGGAGCGCCGTGCGGGGCGGGAGGCGGGGATCGGGGGATTCAGCCCCCGCGGGGCTCCGCGGACGCGCGGGGATGAGCGGGGACCACCCGCAGCCGGGCTCCAGCGATCGCAGCTCTCCGCTGCGGGGGCTCTGCCCGTCCCGCMGCCGGTGCTCCCGGCGAGGCAGAGCCGGGGCCACCGGCTCCGTGCGGGTCCCCCCACCCCACGCTGCGGGAGCACCCCACAGCCCCACAGGGTTCCCGTGGTGGCGTGGGCGGCGGGGCAGCCCCGGGGGTCACGGCCCCGGCTGTCCCGGGCCGGTTAAAGATTGTCCAGGTTCGCGTGAGAGGCGGCCGTGCCCTCTGCCACCTCTGTCCCCTGGGGACAGGGCGACCCGAGGGGCGAGGTGGGGCTGGGATGGGGCAGAGGGTGCAGCTGGAGGGAGGGAAGGCACCTCGGGAGGGATGCTCGATGTCCGAAGGGGGGCTCAGGCACAGTTTACAGCCCCCAGCCCCGGTCCCCGCGGGGTGACAGGCCAGGTCCTGCCTTTCAGGGAGGSCAAAGGGGACCGGCCCGCTCCAAAAATGCCGCCTCCTCCACCCGCACCCTCCGTCCCAGCCCAGCCGCCACGGGATGGGAGACAGGCCAGGGGGTCCCGCCCCGCCGGRGGGTCCCAGAGGTGGCGTTAGGGACATCGCGTGCGAAGGGGCTCCGGCCAGACCCGGGAGGGCCGCCCCGGTCACTCGCAGTCACGCTATGGGTGGGTGGGGGGGGAAATGGTTTTTAAAGGACCAGGGCGGTGGCCTCACGTCCAGGAGCCTGGCCCGGGGTCAAGGCGGCGCCGGAGCAGCTCAGGATCAGCTCAGGATCAGCTCCCCCGCGGCTCGCTGGGCGCTGGGGACTTTGTGAGGGGTCCCCAGCACCGGGGACATGCGGCGTCACCCGCGAGGGGACAGCGGTCCCCGGGACACTGGTGTTCCCCTCGACAGGACAGAGTCATCCCAGCCCTTTCCAGCCACGAGGAGCGGGCGATTTGGGAGCGCAAAGCGGGGAGGTCCCGGTCGTGCCACCCGAAATGTCCCCGCAGAGCCCCAGGCAACACTGAGCGGTGCCCCGCGCTGCGGGGCTGCCCGCAAATGTCACACATGTCCCCGCGGCTGGGAACACGCGCCAGGGTGTCCATAAACCCCGGCCGGGGGCGTCTGTGGCACCTCGTACAACGCGCGTGGGTGCGCTGCGTGTTTGTCCCCGTGTCCCCGCGTCCCCGACGAGTGTGCGAGCGCCCGGCCCCTCTCCCCGCGCACCCGCCAGGTTGTGTCCCTCCACGGCCAGGCTGCACACACTCCTCGCACACGCGGGGACGCGCTCGGGGCTGCGGGCACCCTCGGCGCCCCTCGTGTGCGCGCACGTGCTCATGCCACTCATGCCGCGCCACCCGTGCGCGTGCCTGTGGCCGCTGTCACCCTCCCGCCGCCGCCTGTCCTTGCACGCACAGCCCGGCACCGGGGATGGTGACCCGCGGAGGGCAGCGGGGCATCCACCGGGGGCGGGCGGACCGGCGGCRTCCCCGCGGCTGCTGCCGGGGCTCCGCGGGTGGGCGAGCGGCGGCGGCCGGGGGCGAGCTGGTGTTTTTGGGGTGTGAGGCTGCCTGGCACGCGAGGCAGCGGCTCTTAAAGCTGTTCCCATCGGGAGGCACCCTGCCCTCGCAGGGCTTGGCAGCCGCCGAGGCGTGAAWGAGGGGCAGGTGTGTCCTGGGAAAGCTCTCCGGGACCCTCCCCAGCTTCTCCAGAGCTTTGGGATATGATGGATGAGGAGCGGGTGGGTTCGCCGTCAGCGCGAGGGCCCCCAAAATGCCTCTGGGGGGATCGCTCAGCCCAACCGGAGATGGATCCATAGGGATGGGAGCCGCTGGATGGATCCAGCCTGCCAGAAATAGGTATGCAGAGCCCTGCCCCTGGCAGCCTCCCACCCCAAAATCCTCCCCAAAAGCGTTCCCAAGGGTCTTCCCAGCCGGGCTGTGAGGGCTGCGGCTTTCCTGGGAATTATCAGCAGGAATATWAGCAGCCGGGGTTTTGTAACTGTTCTTGCCAAACATTAATGAACGGCGTCATTGCTATTAACGAGCCCGATTAGAGCAGATGTTGAAAGCCTTTATTAAATATTAGCTCAGCTTTTACCTGGGCCAAATTCCCACCGGAATTTTCGAAGATTGAATGAAACTTCGGGCCAAACCCCAAAGCTCTGGCTCGTTCCCGCTCATCCCAGCTGCACTTCCCAAACTCGCCTGAATTTTGCCCCGGCTCGAGCCCTGGCCGGAGCATTTCCCTGTCGGGTGTCACCCTTTGCTTTCGSGGGGATGAACTGCCCCAGCCTTGCCCCGGGCTGCCCCTTCACCTCTCCTATCTGCCGGGCTCACCTCCTCCCCTCTGCCCCGCCACTCCTCCTCCTCCTCGCTGCCTGTTTGCCCCGGAGGAGCCGGGGGAAGCGAGCCAGCCGCCTTCTCACGCAAACCTGGGCAATCGTTAACCTGAGCCTGGCTCTGCCCCTGGCCCGGATGATCCTGCCGGCACCTGGCCGATGATTCCCCAGGGATCGGGCGGGTTGTGGATGCCGTGCCCAACACATCCCCTCCCCTCGCAGCCTGCAGCTCCCAGCGCCTCCAGAGTGGCCACGGAGGCGACAGCCCTCCCAGCTGCTGGCAACAGTCTGGCCAGCCCAGAAAAGGTG